CAACAAAAACAATAAATAATAATAATAAATATTCTAGTAATAATATTTAAGAAAATATATGTAATAAAAATATTAATACTATTTATGAAATATGTCATAAATTAACCAAAAAAAGTGTGTTGTGTAGTAATATGCACTTTACCATGAAAAAATATACATGATTATGCAATCAATATAATGTAACAGAACACACTAAATGCAGGACATCGGCCAGCTTTGTCTGAAAATGTTTCAATATTAATAATATTTGTGAGAATAACAATAATAAAATTAACTATAAAACAAAAACAATAAATAATAATAATAAATATTCTAGTAATAATATTTAAGAAAATATATGTAATAAAAATATTAATATTATTTATGAAATATGTCATAAATTAACCAAAAAAAAGTGTGTTGTGTAGTAATATGCACTTTACCATAGAAAAATATACATGATTATGCAATCAATATAATGTAACAGAACACTGGTACCAATCGGTAGAGAAGGTACCTTTACACGTGTCCCTTACACTCAAAGTTCACTCTAATTTCTTTATTTGTTCAATTTACACAATCTAAATGCACTGAAGATCATGATAAATTTATCTCTGATTAAACTCATTAGTTTTCATTGGTCAACAATAGATTCAGGTCAATTGGGGTTAATAGATCAAGGACATCAATGAAAATCACTTTGAAAAACACATGTCTGCAAATGTTGACAAATAGGCAGATAGATAGGCTTGCTGTTAACGAGTGAGTTGTAAAGCAACACTATATTAGTTAAGTAACAGTCATAATAAGTTAGAATACCATATCTGAAAAGGTGATCCAATTAAGCTAATAATTTGAGACCACTATACTATGATTAAAGCCAACTGTCGGCTGACAAATCTAACCCCATTCCCTGTGAGTGCCATTTTATAGACCTCATTTTTCTCGCACCACTCTCACCACTCTAAGAAGATGAATCCAGTATCTACAGTACCCCAGCGTGGTAGACATAAAAAATAATTAAAAGACCACCATGTGTCAATCAAGACCACCATGTGTCAATCAATATAGCATTGACATTAAGCTTGTGAGCACATGCAAATTAAGTTAACAATGGAAAAGGTGCTTTGAGGTGAAAATCACTGACTTTGTGCTGGGCCTACGGTAACTTAGGTGAGGTCAAGGGACTGTCCTGGGAATGAGCATTAGCACTGACCTATTCTCTACTGACCAGAATAAACAACTTCAAACAGGCTATATCTAGGAGACTGTATCCAACGGTCAAGGTCACTTGGTCATTATTCAACTTAAAACATAAAGGTAGTAGTGGTTCAAATCATAAGCTGGATTTAGATTTGGATTTCTTCGGTGTGATACACACCAAGGATAACCTACTAAGTCTGACCCACTTATTTCCAGTGGGTCCTTCTGGTGGTGATTGGGCAGTACACCTGAAAGACGGTGAACTTTTGAAACTTGCATTTTAGCCCTCCAGCTGAAACACAAGGACAGCAGTGATGGGAGAGATCTCCACGGTTCAGCGCACACACAGTGGATACCACCAGTTTAGCTTACTAAGCTAGCTGCTCTCATGACCATTCACTTCAGTTAGTTTTCATGAAATAAAATTTAGTATTTACATTTTCAATCAGAATCTTCAAGCACTCATTGCTGTGCTGCATGAGATCTTGCATAAGATTGAGATCAAGGAAGTTTATAAATGCACTCACCATCTGTACACGCGAGTTTAGCGTTGTCGCTGTTGAACCATTCAATGATACAACCTTTACAGGTATTTGGTCTGCAGATGGCACTGGGGTAACCACTACATGACAGTCGGTTGCAGACATTTTGTTGATTGCAATTCAATGGTGTGGATCCATCAGCACACGATGAGGGTGTGACAATTGGTGCGTTGGTCTGTACATTGTTCTGCATCACTGCATCTACAAATGATTTATTATTCAACGTCAGCCAATAAATAATTATTTTCAATTTATAAATATGTAAATAATTTTGGGGTTTTTTAAGACAAACAATTAAAAGGAATGAGAGAATACAAGCAATTATACGAGACTAAGTGTAAAGTGCAAACATAAATCCAGCCCCCACCCCCACAAATTTTCCAAAATGTAAAAAAAAAGAGAAAAAAAAGAAAATTCTACTCAAATTTTGAGTATAAGAGTGACATTTCTGGTGCCATAATCATAAATGTTCTTACTTCAGCCCTAATCATGGTGGGCTGAGGTAGCATAGACCCTTCCTCACGGTCCCCTTTATTTAAAATTCCTGGATCCACCCCTGATTACATTACATTATACATTAACTACACATTTAGGGTAGAGATGTTACTCAATAAAGTTTCTAGAGACAAAATATAACTTCTATTCTATCACTGCAAAAGTTTTTTTCCAAATATATCAAAATGATCACACAAATAGGATAAATGGTCTTAAGAATTTCACATTTATGGAGTAATTTTACTGTTGCTTCGATATGGTTTCCAGTTTGACTTACTGCAGTCTAAAACCTGTGAAATAGGAGTACGTGTTTCGGTGACTTCCTGACCACAGAGCGTAATGCACCAACACTCATCAACGTTGCACTGCTTTGGCTGGAAAAATCCATTGCTATCGCAGGCAGGGGTGTAACCGGGTATTGCAGATACACTCGTGCATGGTGCAGAATATGTTGCTAGCAAGGACTCACCTGTGATAAAATAAAATATGTGAGTATTTATCTTGCAAAGAGGAACCATAATAACCACAATCATTATCATATATTATCAACTATGGTAGAACCCCTCCTTTGGGACACCTCTATTCAAGGGACAGGTGTCCCCTTTATAGGGTTCTACTGTAGTTACCATCGAATAAACCATAGGGTTGGGTTTTAAAGCACATTGGTTAGAACTCTTAACTTCCCTCTCACCAGTACTATTGCAGTCCTAAGTGTGTCAGTAGTGAGGCTGATTTCAATGTATTTTTTTTTATTAATAATTTTTTTAATGTTTAGTTTTCTACATATTTTTGCTGCAAGGGGAAGATTTAGAATTTTTCAAACGGGGAGGGGGCCTGGAAGCCAGTGGGTGTGGTCCTTAGCCGATGGGCAGGCCACGCCCCCTCCCAAACATTAGAAAAAAATAGAAAATTATGATCTTCAGAATACATTTAAAGGCGTTTAAATGTTGATAATCCCCACCGAATATTAGTATGAAACAACGTACATTCAATCAATAAAGGTTGTTTTGATCAAACGTAAATACAATTTAGATATAGTTTAATGTAACAATCGATAGATTTGAAGAATATAAAGAATTTGCTAAAGGTAGATGTGGCCAAATTAGGCTACGCCGAGCTGATAAGGCTAAGCCATCACGGTAAAAGTGGCCGTCCTAAATAACTGTTGGTCGTCCAAAAGACGGCCGGAAGGCTCTCTGGCTAAGCCTATGCTGGTAAGTGAGTAGCACATACAATACCTTTGATTTGCATCGAAAATTTGAAAATTTAATGGCAAAAAGGGGGAGCCACGTGCTCCCCGTGCCCTACAGGATCTGCCCCTGGCTGCATGGTCTGACGAGTACATTGGCATTTTATTGTATATAGAAGGAACTGCACAAGGCACATTGTTCCCTTGCTCTAGGCATGATTTTCCCTGTGTCATCCTCATTATCTTCACTATCAGCATTTTAATTAATGAAATTGATAGTCTATATTAAAATTTTTTCGAGTGCTTACTGCACGTGACTGGGCCAGCTTTACGTGTGTTAGGTATTTCCATACCACACTTGGTCACACACCAGCACTGCCCATCAGAACATTGCATCGGCTCGTACATGCCAACAACATCGCATAACGGTACATGCTCGGTGGTGATGTACTTCGGTGAGCTGCCAAAAACAAACGTTTGGATACGAGACTTTTCTCTCCAGCATGGTTGGCAAAGCACTGTGAAGAAAATGGACATACTGTTATTCAATCACTCAGATTCAGTTATTTGGAAATTAAATCCATAATAAAAACAAACAAGTATAATTTAAGTTTACAAATACTGCATTACAGGCCTTCTAGTGGCACACTTAAAATTATTTTATTGAAAAATGTAACTTTTTTAAGTAACATATATAAACATTATAGTAATTTTATATTATATAGTTGATTAATGAAGATATTTGCAATAAAATAAATTAATAATAGGCATATTCTAATTTATAAATAGACAGTATATCTTTATTTATAAATAGATAGTGATTAATGTTACACCAGACATTCGTAATTTTGATTGGATATTAGTGTTGTATGGGATTAGGACAATAACACCTAATCAGAATTTAGAAATTTATTTGAAAATGGTGCAACAAATATATTCACTGCCTTTAATATTTAATAATAGTAAATACTCACAATCAGTGTTTTTGTCAATCTGCGGGAACTACAAAACAAATTTTAAAATTAAATTTTGTTAAGTTAGATGATACATGGAATCTGTATATAATTAGGCCTATAAACATGGAGGTATACAAGTTAATATGCTTCACTTCATTTGTTGAAATAATTGAACGAACCCTACTAGGCCTAGGCCTCCCAGTGCAACCGCCTCTCTATTCTAGCCTACCGCGTAGGCCTAGTCCTAGGCCTGCTGTTATGTCAGCCAACTATGTGGATGCTAGCTCGCGAAAGTTCTTGGCCTAAATAAAGCCAGAGAAGAAATTACAACGTTAATGACTAGGCTAGGCCTAGAAGAAGGCTTAGAAGCTAGTCGTTCCAGTTGCAAACACTTTTAGGAATAAGCCATGCCCAGTAGTTTTCGTCACGTAGGATACTCTTGACTTTTAATAATATCAAAGAGTATAAATTTATGCTCTTTGATAATATGTTTTTAAAAATTCTTCGAATATGGCGCTCTTACACTATACTTTTTGCAGAGCCGTAGCTGGTATTTTGATCGATGACGTCATGATACTGTTATTCAATCACTCAGATTCAGTTATTTGGAAATTAAATCCATAATAAAAACAAACAAGTATAATTTAAGTTTACAAATACTGCATTACAGGCCTTCTAGTGGCACACTTAAAATTATTTTATTGAAAAATGTAACTTTTTTAAGTAACATATATAAACATTATAGTAATTTTATATTATATAGTTGATTAATGAAGATATTTGCAATAAAATAAATTAATAATAGGCATATTCTAATTTATAAATAGACAGTATATCTTTATTTATAAATAGATAGTGATTAATGTTACACCAGACATTCGTAATTTTGATTGGATATTAGTGTTGTATGGGATTAGGACAATAACACCTAATCAGAATTTAGAAATTTATTTGAAAATGGTGCAACAAATATATTCACTGCCTTTAATATTTAATAATAGTAAATACTCACAATCAGTGTTTTTGTCAATCTGCGGGAACTACAAAACAAATTTTAAAATTAAATTTTGTTAAGTTATATGATACATGGAATCTGTATATAATTTGGCCTATAAACATGGAGGTATACAAGTTATGCTTCACTTCACTTGTTGAAATAATTGAACGAACACTACTAGGCCTCCCAGTGCAACCGCCTCTCTATTCTAGCCTACCGCGTAGGCCTAGGCCTGCTGTTATGTCAGTCAGCTATGTGGATGCTAGCTCGCGAAAGGTCTTGGCCTAAATAAAGCCAGAGAAGAAATTACAACGTTAATGACTAGGCTAGGCCTAGGAGAAGCTAGTCGTTCCAGTTGCAAACACTTTTAGGAATAAGCCATGCCCAGTAGTTTTCGTCACGTAGGATACTCTTGACTTTTAGTAATATCAAAGAGTATAAATTTATGCTCTTTGATAATATGTTTTTAAAAATTCTTCGAATATGGCGCTCTTACACTATACTTTTTGCAGAGCCGTAGCTGGTATTTTGATCGATGACGTCATGTGCAACGAAGCATACCCTGCGCAGAAACTTATAATAGCGGTCAATGTGGTTTGGCCCAGTGGGAACGTTTTGGTTTCCCAACCTAGTATAGGTTGGGGTTTCAATCCCTCGCTGTGCATCCCACTTAGATTTTATTTGATTTAATTAGATTTACTTGGGCAATGCACTTTATCTGCATTGCTTTTTTTCCACCCAGGAGTATTTTAAATGGGTACCTTTTAGGGTTAAATGCCAAATTTGCTGATGAAGCTGCTGCAACGTTATACTGTACTTCTCCAGGGAGATTGAGAGTGTTTCATAGGTATTTAATCCAATGACTGGGGGTAATAATTTGAAGCGCTTAGTTAGAGGCCTTGTTGGCGTTAAGCGCTATATAAATAACATATTATCATTATTATTTAATGCTAAATGGTGTACACAAAACGCGTACACTATGGGAGCAGGGAGGTCCTTCATGGGAATACAGCACTATATTATTTTTTTTATTTGATTTGATTTAATTGAATTTACTTGAATCTCAAAGACATAAAAAAATTTGCAATGTAAAAAGTATTAAAAACATTCAATTTAAAAGTCGTTTGTTAGATATAGGCCTGTTAAAAAATTATTGCTAACAAAAAGTCCAATAGAGTAAAACAGTTAATCTTTAAAAAAACATCAACAATTCAAGAAAGAAAGATATTTAAAAAAAAAGGTCAAGAAAAGATATTAAAGAAAGGTCACCAACAGTGAAACGTTCTGAACATGAGGACAGTGCTGTTCATCAAAACGTTTATCAAAATATTCATTTCTATAATTGTTTCTCTATGATCCATATCGATATATGTCAATAGGTCTATTTATAAATAATTTTACTAAAGGCTATGTGATCATAAAGATAAAAAGTTAAAGAAGATAAGCAAATAAATGTATTGTTTGATCGGTAAATGCTTCCATATCTTGGAAGATGTACGATTAATGTCATCAGTGTAAACGGTCCCGTTGCGTCGTTAAAGTTGTTGTTTTAAGCCTATCTCAGAAGGTTATGCCTGGTTAGTCATGCATATCTTACCTACTTTGCTCAAGGTGTTCTTATTGCCAGACTACACCGAGGGGGATTTTTATTTCACGGTTTACGCTCGCTTCGTTGTTAAAATGCACTTTACAACTACAAAACGTACGTATCACTCATCACTTAAATGTAAACATTTCGTGGGTACCACTTTAGAAATTATTCCATTAACCTTCACGACCTTAATCTGCCTAAAGGTGGTATCAAATTTATAAATTCAATTTCAGGGCTTTCGAATAAGAACTCTAAAAACTCTGGAAATGCTCACTATTTTACGAATCGACGATAATGGCATTTGTGTATCCTCACTGGATCAATAGGCATTTATTATTAGGCACCAAAATTGAAAATTTGTCAAGTTCGTTTACTGAATTATAATACAGATTGAATAAAAAATAAGTTCAACTAAAAGACGATTTTATTATTCTATTACAAACAAAAATATTTATTAAAATAAATACAACTTGTCTTCCCTTATAATGAATTAAAATTAGAAATTTGACAAACGGAAAAGAAAATGATAGATAAACAATGCTTTGGAACAATAGTATTATACAGCACCGGCAAAAAAATACGGAAGGACAATTAGCGACGATCTGAACTTGGAATCTATACTTTAATTACGACTTAAAAAGTAATTGCGATATTGTTTAAATTTTAAAATAATAATTCTGAAGGACTTACCACTTGGGCAGCCGTGACAACCGCCAACGATAATAAAATTAAAATTGTCATGGTAGAGCAGTATCGCGCAAGCAACCTTGGACAGGCTTTCTTGCGAATCTAAATTGAACTAGAAACACAATGCATACGATTAAATACAATAGATGGTTTAATTTTATGAAATTTATAGGCCTATGCAGAAAAAAATAAGGTCGTACTTAAGGTTTTATTTTTTTAATTAGACAACATTTAAAACGTAATAAATAATTGTTTTTACATAAATAAATATTTTGAGCACCAAATTAAGAAAATATAAAAGCAACATCTACTTTATCAACATTGCAGGATTTGAACCCACACAATCGACCTGGATCAAAACATCTTTTACAATCAGGCAATAGCGCCACTTCAGTTACGGACTTTATATTGGGTTATGTATTCTTATCTCTGCAAGATTTAACGCCTTAACTTAGGAAATGCGCTCAAAAACACGCAACATTGCAATCTAAATTACGTGTAAATCCACCTTGGTAAATCACAATAATAAAACCATCACGCACGTATGTTGATTCACACATTTTACTAAATTGCTGGAGTGGATTTACGCTAAAGAAGTCACAGGCAGAGGGGTATAGGTAAATGTCGCTAGATAAAATAGACAATGGATACAGAAAGCAACCATAAATGTCACTATCGGCCTACATACCGTACCAATAATTTCGCTATTACTAGTACATGCGTGTTTGTCATTGAAGGTTTACCCAGGTGTCGTAAATCCTTGGGTCAAGACAATGACGATGACAATCGGCCCCCTCGTATGCATCGTTCGTTGACATCAAGAACCGAGCAGAACTTAATTATTAATGCTACTATATAATCTTTGTTTTATTTCAGAAAATGATTTGATTTTGGAAAACAATGTACGGAGAATTTTAACGACTGTTTAGTTGACGTTTTTGGTCTTAGAGGAATACAAACATTAGTTATTTATTAGAACGCGGAATCGTTCCAAATAACAGTTGACAAGTTGTCGGGCTTGGTATTATCGTCTGATTTCGAGGGACCTTTAAATTACTTCACAGGAGAGGGTCAGATTCGGATTCAGATTTAATTTATTGTCATTGAATTAAGCCATATGAGTATGAGATAATTATTTTTACTGCTGGGAAAATTCAAATTTAACATTAAAACTGCATTGAAGATTACTGTCATGTAAACATAATAAATTTCAAAATTAAAAAATAAAAAATTTTTGTATTTCAATAAGTTATTAGCTTTCACTGAAAATTAGCATCCAGAAAATAAAAATCTCTCCAACTAACTGAGTTGTTTAAATATGATTTCGGTATGTAGTCTTTGCATATACCCTTAGATCACTTATACTAGAACATTATTTTACAGATTTTGTAACGTGTTTTGTGTTTAGTTTTGGTTTTGCATTTGACGTGTTTGAGTTTGGAACAAACAAAAAATAGTGAAAGATGATACTTTAATTCAACGGTTTCTTTTTGGTTAAGATATTTTTCCTTTATTTTGGGTGGGGTCGAGTAGGTGGTGGTGTGGTGTATGTAGATAGTCGTGGTTTAATGATGTTGCGTCATGGATATTGAATTTCCATATGCCAATTTTGTTCTACAGGTCTGGAGTGTGAATTATCGTCTTATTTGCTCCATGCCCTTGGGTCGAACGGACACAAAAGAGGTTCAGGGAGATGTCACGTGTATTGTTGCCATTTGCGTCACTAATAATGTTCTATTGTATTGGCCTATATTTTTTATGTCAGTAAGAAGGTTACGCCGTGGTCACTTGCATTTTCTAGGTCAGTATTACCAATACTTCTACATTTCCCCAAAACTTGTCTATAAATACACCATTCTCCCGATCGGCAGGTCGTTTGTATTTAATTCCCATAAGGCCCTGGAACCTGCGGATTCGAATCTGATATAATAATTTGTTTTCAGCAGGACTGTACCATGTTGCGTTTGCTCGATGGCCTTGTGTACACTAATGGATGAGCTTAGCATGGCACTCTCGGAACAGGGGAGAATTGGTACAGAAATGAAATCACACTCAGTCAATTGAAGGTTTTTATCTTCTCCCATTTGGTTGCACAGGTAAAAAACATAATACACATTTATAAAATAACACAGAGGCTGAGATTGCTTATAATAATACGAACAAATTGGGGCTGAAGTAAGATTTCAAAAGAATGGAAAGACTAACAAGTCTTGTCTGTACCTTATGTGCGTAGCGTGACTATATAATATTGCCCTTTATAATACAGTAGAATAATACTGTACTACTTCTATACAATAATAATGTTCTATCTTTGAAAAGTGTGTAAAATAAGAACAAAATAAGAACAGTTTGAGCCTGAGAAATGAGCAAAAATAATAACACTGAGCCTGGACAAAAAAATATTATCTTAAACTACATATTATATCACCTGTTAAGGTCTACAGTTTCATAATGATGATATCATTATCTCATGATTGTAAATATTTTACAGAATTTTTAATAGTAACATCATTAATATGAATAATTTTGGTAGTAAGTTAACGGAGCATTAAAGTCATTAATCAAACATAAAAATAGACATAACATTGTTACAATTGATTTAACGACCAGTGCTCGGATACCACAGAGCTGGCCATAACAACTCCAAAAATACCACTTTGATAAAGTTCCTAATTAAATACTTTTTAAGAAACGCTCAGATGGCCTTCATTGGGATTTGAACATAAATACTCCGTGATCACAGGTTAGAATTGTTTCTCAACTGCAAGACCAGGTGGTGGTATACTCTGCTTGAGTACAGTTGTTTTCTGTCGAAGATTTAAGATCCGGTATCAAGTGAACCTCTGGGCAATCCCGGAGTTTGGTTGGCAGTGTAAAAGGGGTAAGACTTGCATTTCTTATTGCTGTCCGTTAGTATTTGTAATAATTATAACACCGGAGTTTGGTTGGCAGTATAAAAGGGGTAGAATTTATTTTATGACAATTTACAATATTTAAAAAACAAACTGGTTTATGTAAAATATGTTTGGACAGACGGGAGAGACATAATTATCCTCTTGGTCCTGTGACATTAATAATAGCAACGATTGTTGTATTTTTCAAGTCTTCTACGTAAAAATAGGTAGGCCTACTCTATACTTGTAGATCGTATTGCTGTTAATGGGATGTTGAATACTTCAGCAAGCAGAATTTTAATATCAGCCTATATTCGTATAGAACATAATAATGTATTGGACTAAGATTATGTATACAATCTATTTAATAACTCAAACAAATTATATAAGACAACAAATTTACTTACCACACCAGAGACAAACTTAAGATGATTTTTCACTAGAAGGTAACTCAAATAAAGAGCTTCAAGTAACTTGGAATAAATCAGCAATGTTCTTTTATAAACTTTTCTGAGTCTAAACTTCCTTCATTCTGATTGGCTATATATTTGGAATCGTCCATTCTAGTGTCTAACCGTCATCTGTTGATCATAAGCCAAGGTAGCTCACGCCATTAGTGTAGGCCAATGGCTTTGTGAACATGTGTTAGTGATTTTAAATTACGGTAGTATAATTGAGAATAATTATGGAAAACAGTCACAAATTTATGTCAAACACCTTTCGCACATCTTCATTAGGCAGGGAGGTATGAAATAATATATCTATCTGTTTATATAACTATTAGGCCTATTCTTCAATTCGTTGTTATTAACATTACGATAACAACAGTTGAATAAGAGAATAGTTAATGACTAAGCCGCCGGAATTTTATGAACCTTGTTTGGTTTAGATTGTTGTCTCTATGAAATCAAATAGGGAAACATTTTGAATAGAAAAAAATAAACTTTAAAGTTATTCTAGACAGAAGGTCTAAGTATATCTCTTGAGGCTATATTATACAGAAATTACTAATACGCTGTACGTTTGGATGGATACAAAAAAACAAAATTAACTTTTTTTTTAACATAAGCCTATACAAATTATTTTCTGTTTTGTTAAACCAATTATAATTTAGCTTATTTACAACGAAGTAGCTGCTGAAACGTATATTATTGGTTTAAAAACATTTTATATAAACGTTGTAAAACCAGATGAACATTTTTATTTAAAAACACATTTTATAAGAACACTGAGGCTGAAATTGCTTCAAAAGAACAAATAAGAACAAATTGAAGTGAGGTAAAATGTCAAATGGAGGCTTTTATTTTTAAAAATAGAAAAACAAACAAATCAAGCTAGTCATTACAGTAAAGTATTAATGTTTAAAAAGGTTATTGTAAAATTCTGTTAGTCTTATCTGCATCTTATGTGCAGTAGGTGTGACTACGTCAGTAATATACTGCGATACAATAATATTTTTTTTATTTTTGAAAAGTGTGTAAAATGAGAACAAATTAAAAATATACACTGAGTCTGGGCAAAATTGTACCGGTTCTTATAAAAAAAAACAAAAAAAACGAGCGTGTTGGCCTAATGACTGAACAAGCTGGTCGCTCACCGACACACCAGTAGTCTATAGAACGACCAACCTTGACTAGCAATGGGGTCAAGTTTGATGTTTGATTATATTGTGTTTGACCCCATATACATGCAATGCATAAGAGTAATTAATATACAGGAGTATCCATGTGTATTAAGGGCGACAGATAGTATTATAATGTAATGCATATACAGTTCTAAGATACAAGATGCCCGACAAGATGATCCAAATACAAGTCCGAACCGAACTGTTACAAAATGTACCATAGAACCAAAAGTTTCGAAATCTAACACAGAACAAGGAGGTGCGCAGACCAAACTCACACAAGAAATCACTTAACCTTTATGCCGTGTTTGTCGACGCTTCTTAGAAACATTCGAGGAGGAATAACTGTGGAAAAGATGATCACGTCAGCATCTTGCAAGACCACGTCAGCCAGTTGCAAGACCATGTCATCCCCTTGCAAGACCACGTTAACCCCTTGCAAGACCACGTCAGGCCCATGCAAGATCACGTCAGCCAACTGCAAGACCACGTTAGTCGCTTACAAGACCACGTTAGACCCTTGCAAGACCTTGCATCATTACCAGTATCATCATCATCCTCTTTATTATCATAATCACCATCACCTCCATCATCATCATCATCAATTCTAAATACACATTTAATTTTGAATATTACAGTAGATACACATTTTGGAAGTAGTAATTATTTTCTGTTGCATTGTAAATTGTATTTGTATCCTTGGATGCATTTATATAACTAAAACGTGTTTTTAAGAATATTTTTTTCCATATGGATATCCAGTCTTTTGTCACGCTTTAGCGAGAAATGTTTTCTGCAAACGTTGCAAAAATGCTCTCCATCCAGGCCAGCTTTAAATGAGGCACTCATGTCGATTAGCAACAGGTTAACCTGCGTCAAGGGTTCATTCACCGATTTTGCTGACCTTTGAATAATATGACAGGTACTGCTGGTTTTAATGTCATATTAGGCATATTATATAAAATGCCATGTTTAAAATGCTGCGTAAATTTGTGATCATTAAATATACATTAACACGGATATGACCTCGTGACACACATTGACATTCATCATGCTGCATGTTAATATAGGTGACCATGGTAGGATATCTAAACTAGAGCTAAGTATACTCAGTACTCTAGTAGTAGTATCCCCTTCCCCATCATATTATATTAATATATATAATAATAATAATTCAAATTTGCATGTTCCACCCGTTATTCCTTCTCTTCCAAAGATGACCTAGGGCATGCAACAGCCTGTAGAGAAGAATTACACGTTTCCTATCGCCATACAGTAATTTTATAAAAGGCCTATTATATATAATTTATATAATATAATAAACTAAATGAACAAATAAATCTTCACCATATTTCCTGTATTTATATACATATACATATGCATATACATTATACATAATAGTCATATACAGTATATATATATATATATAGCCTATATATACAATATATATATATATATATATATATATATATATATATATATATGATAAAAATAGTGTTCAGAGGTATAGGAACAAATTATGTTATAATTATTATTATTTTATTTATTATATTTATTTCCTCCATAAAAATATATATGTATATACAATATACAATATAAGATTAAAACATTAAAATTGAAAGAAAATCCATAGAAACAAGGAGTATACAGATTGCTGGTGAGTGGGGAGGCGGGCATACCAAAAGGAACGGAGTTCCTGTACAATAAATGTTTGGGATCCACAAGCACTCATCAGCAAAACGTATAGTCAAACAAGAACTTAGTTAAATGAACGATTCCTTAACAAATTTCTTAAATAAATTAAAATTACCATTACGCACATGTAAAGGAAGGCAATTCCAACCGTCAATAATTATATAATAATGGGAATTTTGCTGTAATGATGGTAATAATAACAATAGGTTTTGTAGAATAATTATAATTATTATTGTTATTACTGTACTTAAATGGTGATTGTGATGACCTTGTTTTTTGCTTTTAATGACTGTTTTTGCATTTATTTTGTTATTTATTTATTTATTCTTTTTTTATTTTTTGCTTGCTTTTTGCTTGATGTTGTGATGTGTTGTCTATTATATTTTATCTTACATTTTAATGATGTTTTTTTTTTGGTTTTTTTTTTTTTTTTTTTTTTACTGGGGGGGGGGTTTTTTTTTTATACTGGATGGGAGTGGTTCTCAAACAATTGTTATAGTAATTAAGTTTACTTTAGAGACCAGGCCCTCCCATCCAGATTATTCTATTGTGCAATAAAAAGAATAAGAATAATATGACAAAAAGAAAGAGCAAGTTCGTTGCATCGGGATTTCTATCAGCGATCAATATTATAATATAGTATGTCGCTCACACTGTATCATATCAAAATCTATGGTGGATGTTTCAACATACATAAGCGGGTGAATACAATATGTGTGCTTCAAATTAATTAAGACATCAATCAAACCACGAGAGAGAGATCTGTCTCTTTCGATAAGAATTAGCTTTGGGTTAAGATTGGTCTGTCTTGAATCGATTATTAATGATTCCCGTATTTCTTTCTAGTTAATTTGCTGTCTTCTTATTGCCTAATATTTTTTCTAAAGACGTAAATTTATTGGTGGAGATATCAAACATGATTGATGGTTACCTGATTGATCCGCTCTCTCCAAGTTGAACTTGGATTGACGAAGGTCGCAATCCAGCACCCCTAAAATTTCCACCAATGTTAGGCGCAAACGTTGCCAGATGTTGTGAGCTGAAATGCCTTCAGATGTGGTAGAATGACCAGTAATTATATAACAATCTGCTGACACAAGTACAGCACTTTACATTCAGGGTGGCTCTAGTGGGGAGGGGAAGGTGGGGTAAGATCCCCTCCCTGTCGGGAAAAGCTTCCCCCCCCCCCCCATTAGCTCTCAATTCGTCGAGGAGAAAAAGAATTATAAGTATTCTCTAGACTCTAAGATCGATTAAATAAGCCTTTGAAACCCCTAAATTGTAAAAATTGTCGAGGCTTCGTCCCCCCCCCTACTACTTTCAGAACATTTTTTAGCGACGCCGGACCACTCCCACTTTTCTCTCGGCGGGGACATCTTCCCCTGTCGGGTATCTCGGACCCCATGTCGGGCAAATCCTGGCACCACCCCTGTTTACATTTTAGCTGTCGTTTGATGAACTGAACAATGCAAGAATGGAGGTTTATGATATATTACAATATGCATGGTTTTCAAAATCGGACCTAGAGTTTCAAAATTTGGACCTGGAAATATTAACAAAAAACAGTGGCGAATTCAAGAATAACTAGACAGCTCTTTCCCAACGTAAATTTTTTTAAATTGAAATAATAATGGGGGAAATGGAAACTTTGAGAGTGCCGTCTCCGGCCATCTAGGGGTATTATAAAGTCGCACACTACATAGCCGGCAAAGTTGTTCACACTTTCAATACCCCTAACGCATTATTAGCGTATCTAGGAGTCTTGAAATGTGAGGAGGGGGCGCCAAAAGGATGTGGGGAAGGGGGCTCGATGATTAAGTATAAGGGTGCGTTCTGAAAGTACAATAATGTGATATGAAGTAACTTGAGTGTGATTTTTTTTGCTTCGAACATTTTCAAAGGGGTGAGGGTGGTGGGGCGTGAGGTAGATTTTCGAATATATGAAAGGTCGGTATTGTCTTGAATTCCCTCCTCCATTTAGTTTCCATTGTCTGTTTGCCTTGATTTTCTTTTTATGATTTTGATTTTGGTTTAGCCACTTACCATAGTTAAATGTATCATTTTTCTCCCTGTGGCTCAGTCTGTTTATCATTTGTCATTCACTCAATTGTTGTCGACCATATTTTTGTCAATTACGGCTACTAGGATTTATTGGTTGTATACTATTCTTCGAAGTGACATTGTTTACATATTTATTATTCATCAAAATGGACAATAATTTTAA